GGTCTGGACCACTCGTAAATTTTGTTCGTATCTGAAAAAAATCGTAGAATATTGGTGAAAATTCAGAAACATTGGTGAATGCCACAAATTCTCCTAAATCACTCGTACGCACAACTTAAGAACAAATCTGTGCGTACGAACGGTTCTTGCATGAGGCCCATTGTTCTTTTCTTCAAATGCTTCATTTTTCTCTGTGTGAACACAGAGCTGATGGGCCAAAAAGTTCACTTTTTGTCTCATCTGTCCAGAGGACATTCTCCCAGAAGCTGTGTGTTTTGTCAACATATAGTTTGGCTTTTCTATGATTTGGTGCCTTGGTCATCTCCAATTACGTCCTCTTTGATTCAAACGATGACAGATGGTGTGGTCTGACACTGATGTTCCTTGAGCTTGAAGTTCACCTTTAATATCTTTAGAAGTTTTTCTGGGCTCTTTTGTTATCATTTTCATTAGCCATCTCTTTGATTTACCATAGTTTTCCTCCTGCAGCCATGTCCAGGGAGGTTAGCTACAGTCCCATGGATCTTAAATGTCTGAATAATATGTGCAACTGTAGTCTCAGGAACATAAAGCTGCTTGGAGATGGTCTTATAACCTTTACTTTTAACATGCTTGTCTATAATTGTCTTTCTAATCTCCTGAGACAACTCTTTCCTTCTCTTCCTCTGGTCCATGTTGAGTGTGGTCCACACCATGTCACCAAACAGCACAGTGAGTATCTGTAGGCCTACAGACCCACTGACTACAGACCTACTAGTTAGTGGACACAAAAGATTTAATATGTCTCTTTGGTCACATTATTTTATTATTTTATTTATTGTTATATATATTTATGTTATATTTTATTATTTTCAGGGGTATCATCATTTCTGTCCAGACCTGTTTTATAAGTTTTATTTAAAAAATTGTTGAAGCATGGCTGAAAAGCAATATCTAATTTTCATTTGTTCATTTTTTTATAGAATTTTTATTTATTATTACTTTTGTCAGATTCAGATTTCTGTGACCATTATGGGTTTTTCTCATTAAACGAAGGATACAAACAATTTTGTCCACGTGTGACAATGCAAGAACAGGATGCCATCAGTCAAAATTAAGGCTAGAAGTTGATTGACAACACAGTCGTGGTTGTTATTGAGGTTGGTAGTGCAGATTTGGTTGTCTGTTCCAATCATCACCTGGTGTGGTCAGTTGTGGTAGAGACTGGCAGGCTGTGGTGCTGAAGCTGCTGCAGATAGGAATGTGACTGGAGGAGTTGGACAGCTGGCGACGCTGATTCCTTAACTTCTCTTCTCTTCTCCACTTTGCCCGTCTGTTTGAAAACCAGACCTACACATGCCAAAAGAAGGAAAGACAAAAAATAAAACACTTTCATTTAAAGTTATGGTACTAAACAACACTTGAATGATAGACTGGAAGCTGCTCAGTCAGTGCCTGCTGTGACTGTATCTTTTTTTTATCTGAATGAAGCACATCCTTCCAAGAAGTCTGGTCTTTGGACATCATTCATGTACACAACCAATCATAGTTCTGCTGTAGTAAAACTATCTGACAGCTCTGATCAAACTTGTGTAATCACTCTTTGACTGTAGACTCTTAGACACCAGTAGTTGTAAGACTTGCCTAAAGATTCTGTATTAAATTTGGGGTTTAATTGCTTCCTCCTGCATTCACGATCTGTTCTTGGGGTGACTTTACTGAAGAGAGAAAATGAACAAACTGACATTTATTCACTGATTCATCTTCATCCACTCATCCAAGACTGGGTTACAAAAGCAGCAGGTCACGGACCTGCTGCTTTTGTAACTGCTTGTCCACAGCAGGTGGAAACATTTTGCTCTGAGTGTTTGTGACAACCAGTGAGTGGCATGGATGTGTTTTAATTTCATATTTTCATAAACATTATTTACAAAACTGTGTTCCAGGTTATACACAAGTACCTGCCTCAGCCCACTTTATACCCAGTTAGTCAGTGGTCCTAACATTTCCTATATTTAATTTACTGGAAAACAGTTTAGAACTATGTAGTTTTGGACCAGTTTATTAATATTTTTTTATTGTTGATTTGGTTAGAAGACCTGGACAACTACAACTTACCTGTATTCTTGCTTCAGGAAGATCTATTTTGTTAGCTAGACGTTCACGAGCAAAAACATCTGGATAGTGAGTTCTTTCAAATTCTAGAAGAGAAAGAATTTTAAAGCATTTTATTGCACTGATAAAAACATAATGAAACGAACAGTTTGTTTGAAGCAGTACAAAATTTTAAGCATCATCTTGGCAGGGTTCAGGTGTTTAAAGTGTCTGTGACGTGCCCATCCTTCAAATACAAAAAGTGAAAGAAAACATCTTCATATTTAGGAAACTTGGCATTAAACACAACTTTACCCATTTTGTCACAAAACTGGCAGATTTTCTTTTGAACTTGGCTCAGCCAAAGTGAAACAGGAAGTGACATCAAAGGGAAACTCTTTAAAAAGGCAAACTCTGGTCTTTATTTATTTAAACAATGTTATTTGAACACTGACTCGTCTTCATCTCTCTGATAAAGAAAAACCAGATTTTTCTCTACAGTCTGTGTTATAGTTATTGCAGCAAAGCTCTGTTTACATGCAGACATCCCCTTGACATCACTTCCTGTCTTTTAACATGCAAATATCATAACCACTGTTCATCTCAGTGGTGTGAACCTTTATTTGCAATATGTTATCAATGTTATTTTTTCTAAAAATGCATTCTTATTTAATACAAATAATTTATGACACATGCACTTTAAAATGTACTTTCTGGCTACAAAACAAGATCTACTTATTTTTATTTTGAGAACAGATGGATGAAGAC